CTATTATTGCAAGAAGAATGGAGGAAGTGAACTCAAAATTTTCTACTCAATTACCCAATGAGGTGACTAAGTTGTTGGTAGAATTTTCTAATGTCACACCAGAAAAGTTATCTAATGAGTTGCCTCCCTTACGAAATATTCAACATGTAATTGATCTTATACCAGGATCTCAATTGCCAAACTTGCCAGCATATAGAATGACTCCTAATAAGCATGTTGAACTCAAAAGGCAAGTGGATGAGCTATTGTCCAAAGGTTTTATTTGTGAAAGTCTAAGTCCTTGTGTAGTTCCAGCACTTCTTACCCCAAAGAAAGATGGTACACGGCATATGTGTGTTGATAGTCATGCCATAAACAAAATCACTGTTAAGCACAAGTTTCCTATTTCTCATCTAGAAGATATGTTAGATGCTATGGCTGGCTCTACTATATTTTCAAAAATTGACTTGAAAAGCAGCTATCACTAATTACGAATCAGACCTAGAAATGAATGGAAGATTGCTTTTAAAACCAATGATGGGATTTATGAATGGTTGGTCATGCCATTTGGACTCAGTAATGCACCAAGCACTTTTATGAGATTTATGAACCAAGTACTTCAACGCTATAATGGTCGATTTCTGGTTGTCTATTTTGATGACATCCTAATTTTCAGCAAGAGCAAATAGGAACATATTTATCACTGACAGCAAGTCATGAAAGTTGTTCAACAAGAAAAGCTTTACATCAATTTAAAGAAGTGTTCTTTTATGAGTTCAAGTGTTGTTTTTTTTGGGTTTTTTTGTATCATCAAAAGGAATTAAAGTTGATCTGGATAAAATCAAGGCAATTAAAGAATGGCCAACACCGACTTCTCTACATGAAATTAAAAGTTTCCATGGATTAGCATCATTCTATCGACAATTTATAAGAAATTTTAGCACTCTAATGGCACCTATTACTAATTGCATGCAGAAAGGAAAGTTTGTTTGGATAGAGGCAGCATCTAAAGCCTTGGAAGAAATCAAGAAAAAGATGACCGAAGCTCTTGTTTTACATCTTCCAAAATTTTCTAAGGTATTTAACGTTGCTTGTGATGCCTCTCATGTAGGGATTAGTGGGGTTCTTAGCCAAGAAGGACATCCAGTTGCTTATTTTAGTGAAAAACTAAAGTTAGCAAAACAAAAATACTCAACTTATGACAAGGAATTCTATGTTGTAATTCAAGCACTTCGACATTGGCATCATTATTTAATTCATAAGGAGTTTGTCTTATACTCTGATCATGAGGCTCTAAAATACATAAACTCTCAAAAGAAGTTGAATCATTGACATGCAAAATGGGTTTCTTTTTTGCAAGAATATTCATTTGTTCTCAAAAGGTTGGAATAGAAAACAAGGCAGTAGATGCTTTTAGCCGAGTAACTTTAGTTCTTACTTCTATGGCTATTCAAGTAGTTGGTTTTGAAGTAATCAAAGAAGAATATTTATCTTGCAAAGATTTCAGCATAATATACGTTGATCTCTAAGCTGGACAACATGCCAATTACCAAGATTTCAATTTACATGATGGTTATCTATTTAAAGGAACTTGTCTTTGCCTTCCAAGTATCCCTACATGATGAAGTAATTTGAGAGCTACATTTAGGAGGAGTAGCAAGACACTTTTGGAAGAAATAAGACAATTGTTGTGATAGAAGATTGATTCTACAGGCTAAGTTTAAAGAGGGACGTAAGTAGAATTGTAGCTTAGTGTAGGATTTGCCAAATATACAAGGGAAAAAGGAATAATATAGGTTCATATACTCCTCTACCTATTCCACATGAGCCTTGGGAAGACCTAAGTATGGATTTTGTTCTTGGGTCACCTAAAACATTAAAGGGAAATGACTCAATTTTTGTGGTGGTTGATCACTACTAAAAAATGGCCCATTTAGTTCCTTGTTTGAAGACATATGATGCTGTCTATATTGCTAAACTTTTTTTCAAGGAAATTGTTCGCCTACATAGATTACCTAAGACAATTGTTTCAGATAGGGATGTGAAGCTTACGAGTTATTTTTGACGATCCTTGTGGAAAATGTTTGGCACAAAATTGAAATTTACAACCTATTTTCATCCATAAACAGATGGACAAACTAAGGTTGTCAATAGAAGCTTAGGTGATCTCCTTCGTTGTTGTGTTAGGGATCATGTTAAAACTTGGGACCAAATTCTCTCAGTGGTTGAATTTGTTTATAACAATTCTGTTAACAGAAGTACAGGTTATAGCCCATTTGAAATTGTGACAAGAATACTTCCTCGAAAACCCATTGATTTGACTCCATTACCAGTCGAAAATCGTGTTAGTGTGGAAGCAAACAATTTTGCTAAACACATTCGTGAAATTCATGATGACATTTGAAGGAAGATTGCTACTAGCAATGACAACTACAAAGTACATGCTGACATAAAAAGAAAACATGATGAATTTATGGAAGGAGACATGGTTATGGTAAGAATCAGACTCGAGAGATATCCTAGGAGATCAAATACGAAGCTTCACTCCCAGTGTGCTGGACCTTATAAGATTATTAAGAAAATTATCTCAAATGCTTATGTTCTTGATCTACTTGATGATATGGGAAACAGTAATGTCTTCAATATTGAAGACTTGACATCCTACAATTGACATGATGACAACACCCCAAACATAACTAGTGCAAATCCTCCTTTCAACCCACCCACAAAGGAAGAAATTGAAGGTGTTATTGATCATGACATAGTTTCAACTAGAGAAGGTGGTTATCAAAGGTTTGTTGTCAAGTGGAAAGGACGTTCACTTTCTTATTGCACATGGATTATAGAAGAGGAATTTCAACAATTAAATCCAAGTCTCTGTGATGAATTTCATGCTTCTAACTCAATAGGGTCGAGTTTCTTCAAGTAGGGGAGAGATAATGGGGCATGCTAGTAGTAACCCCCAAAGGTTTACAAAAAGCGAGCCAAAGTTGGTTCTAAAGCCCATGCTTTAGTTTGGCACATGGCCAATGATGAGAAGCTTAGTTGGGAGCTTAATTAAGTCTTTTATTAGTAGTTTATTATTATTATTATTATTCTTAAAACTATTTAATTTTTGTCAAGTCCTAATTGGACTAGAACTTTTAATTAAGAGTTCTATTAGGAGTTCTAATAGTTTTTATATATATAAATGTTTGTAAGTTTCTTTATTCATTTAGTTAATAATATTCAAATTTTTCCAGCAAGTTTGCTCTTGATTGTGTGAAGCAATCTACCTTAGGAGTGATTCCTAAGGGTGCCTAGGTGTGATTCCTAGGGTTCTTTATTCTTTCTTGTCTTCTAAACTAAACTCCGAACCTTCTTTTTACTATTCATGCACCCTATTCATAGCCAAAACTATCTTCAAATAAGCCTCTAAGTCCTCAAGCCTACCTTAGCCTTAACTTGTTCCGCATCATCATTTGATACTTAAAATAACAAATAGAAACAAGAAGAAAAAAATGAAAAGGTGAAGAGTGCTTGTCTTAAATTTCCATATAATGGAGGAAGGCAAGCCAAGCGAGCCCATCAAAAAGTTCATTGTGATAGAGTATGCCCTAGAGCCAACTAGTTTGGCAAGATATTTTATATACTTGTAGTTACCCTCATTATATTTATGGCATTCTTTACTAAACGTTAATATTTGCATATGTTAAATATTGGTAAATTTTTAGAATATTGGATGTATCAAAAAGGTAATAGTAGTTATTGCTATTAGTGAAAACTATATGATTTTATAGTAATGTTTTAAATTGTCTATTAGTTGTATACATCATTGAGATGGAACATCAATTGATGTAAAAACTGAAACATGTTGCACTTTACTAGGTAACAAGACTACTTCTCATGAAGTGTCACATGGGGGTCGCTCAAAAAAGATGTGTGCACTAGACTAACCCAACATGACAACACTACATGCACATTCATTAGTACTATCTTAACTATGACATGAATGTAGGTGTTCCTTTGATTCGAGATCCTTATTGCATGCTATTAAAAATATGCACTATGAGGGGTTGCGAATAATATAATTATTGGGTGCATCATGAATCGCATGAGAATAGTAAATGAGTCAAGATAGGATTCATCACTTTCAAGTTAATGAGAGAGGATATCTCTAGACTCTTTGATTGAGATGAGACTACTTAGAAATGAAAGAGTTCATTCATTGAGTTAGTCTATCTTGGGAATCAAATAAAATATACATCAAGCTTTGAGGATCATAAACATAGTATGCATCTTGCTTGATTGAGATATTAGTGATAAAGGGATTGAATTACACAACTATATTGGTCATATATCACTACTAGAAAAATGATTTTAAGACATGGCATATTTGGCATTGCTAAAACAATGGTGTCAAATGAAAACTTTTTTGACACCACACTACGATATCAAATATTATTTGGTAAAAATAACACATTCCAACCAATAATTTGTCGCAGCTATTATTTTGACACTGCACTGTGGTGTCAAACAATTACCCACCAACACAACATTTTGCGCCAAATTTATAGGATAGTGTATTGCCGTGTCAAAATAGTGGTTTTCTTTTTTAAGCATATTTGACATGTAGTGTGGTGTCAATTACAAGAATAATTTAAAAATAACAAATTCAACATTATTGCTGTTGTATTTGACATTGCAATGTGGTATCAAATAATGGTATCAAGTAGGAGCCAAACGTCCATTTTGTGGGTTTAATATGTTGAATTATTTGACACCACTATGTAGTGTCAAATACAAAAATATTTGAACTTATACTTGTAATGCCTTTGTTTGCATAAAAATAATTCAAATCTTCTGCCCTAACTTTTTGACACTGGCATGCAATGTCAAATAATTAGGGAAAATTTTTAAATTCATTCTTATCACACCTTTGTTTCCTTGAAATATTTCTACCATAGTTATTTGACACCACAATAGATTGTCAAATAGTATGCCTCTATATATAGCTTAGATTTCACTAAACTTCCTCATTTTTTTTCTCTTCTCCTCTTTCTTTCCTCTCCCAATCTAATTCAAATTCTCATATTTCTTCTTCTCATCTCTTTTTTTTTTCTCCTTTTCTTATCTCAATTCTTCTCTTCTTATTTTTCTTCTTCTTACTTATTTCCTCTCTTTGATTTCCCTTTATATTTTCTCTTTCATCTCTTTCATTTCCCTTTTCATCTCATTTCCTTATCTTCTTCTTCTTTTCTATTTCCTACTCTTCTTCTTCTATCTCACTTCATTATTTATTTTTCGATTTTTTTTGCATATTTTTGTATTTTTTTAAATTTAAATAATTTTCTCTTTACTAAAATTATGCTAATTGATTTTGGATTATTTTGTGGGTACAATAATGGAGATAACATGTGAATTGAAGATAATATTCTTTTAAAATGAATAAAAGTTTTTGTTTACACCCATTTTTGCAACAAATAGAATGGTGCCACATGTCATCCATGTTGGAAGGAATTTTGTTTGTTGAAAAGTTGTTGATGTAGATTTCTTTGGATAAGGTTTAGTGATTATTTCTAGGCTGTTTATTTGTTGCAAATTTCCAAGAGCATAATCAGCAACACCAACAGGTTAATCTGTTGCAGATTTCATACTGCCATTAAATTTCAAGATGTTGCTGCAAATCTCTAGCATGCTGTTAAGGGGTGTTTATTACTATAAATAAGTATATAAGAAATCAAGCAAGCGAGACGAGACCTACCTCTCATACAACAAGCCCAGTGTTATTTACATTTTAGTTTTCACAAGCAATGTCTTAGTTTAGATCTAGCTTTCTCAAATAGCTTTCTTAGTTTTGTCCTCAGCTCTACATTGCTACTAGCTATAGCTTTAGTTTTTGTTATTTCGTTTTAAACATCTCTGCTGATGTATTTGATTTCAATTTACTGTACTTTGCTTGAAATTCATCTTTCTAACTTCCTTTTAAGTTTAGTTTTATACTTTAGCTTTTATTTCATTTTTTACATTTTCATACTTGCACGACGGAATCGCGCTTCCTTTCTATAATTTAGTTTTCTTGCCATGCACTCGCTTTCTTCCCTTTTCCTTTATTTTTCTCTTTTATTTTGATCAACAAACTAACATTTTGGCCTTAGTCATGGGAAGTCCCTAATGTTCTTCCAAGGCAATTATTTATGGACCTTTACGTAGGAATGCACCCCCATTTCTGTAACAGTCATCTGACTAAGGGCATCTCATAATTTATTTAACTAGTGTTCTTCCATTGACTCGTAGCTGAGTTCCACTCTTGGAAGTAATGAGGGTCGTTGGGAATCCTCTTTCTCACTTTGAGTAAAGTGAGTGGCACATCTTCGCAGTCTTATCTACCATGTAGATAAAAAGGCAGATTTTGGAGACAACAATCTCTTTTTGGCATGCCTAGTGGGACCCACCTTGGGTTTCACAATTTTGTTAATCATATCCTTTGTTGTTAGATTGTGCCACCATGGTAGGGCTTTATTCTAATGATTGCCAGAAGCTCTTCATGACTCTACCACATCCTCTTCATGAGTGTTAGAGAGTAACCTCACGATCACATTTAGGAGGCATGAATCACAATTGTAGTGTAATATCCCAAAATTTTGTGATATTTAGCACTTAGTTAAGGACTTGATTGTGAGGAAAATATTATTTTGGGGCCTAATGCAAATATTCTGAAACTTGAGGGACTTAAAAGAGAAACGATTTGGACAAGGATCGGGTGATTTTTCTTCCTTCTTTCTTCCCTAGCCATTTCGCGTTTCTGCTCTTCTTTTCTTCCCCCTATAGCCGAACAAGAAGCATGCTTCCGGCAGCCCTCCCTTGAGGAAAAATTGGTAAAAGCTTGGTATTTTTCCCTTCTTTTCTTGTTCTAGAACACATATAGAACCCAGAAATCTTCCCCCCTCTGTAGGAAATCCCGGATCTGCTCTGCTCCTTCCTCCCCTGTTTGTCGATTTCTGTTATGTGGGTGCAAATTTTTGGGCTTTTTTGGTAAGAACAGCCACTAATTCCTTTGTTCTTCCTTGAATTGGCTTGGGTTACTCTAAGTTCCTCTTGTTCTTTCAGTTTGAGTTAATTCCGTGAGTCCCTTGCAGATTGCTGCCGGCTTCTCCCCTTGCCAGGTCCGGTTCTGCAGCTGAAAATTTTGGTATGTTGATAGCTCCATCTAAGTCCCAATTTACCCATTAGTTGTTGAAAAATTGTCTGTTAAATAGCTGCCTATGTTGTCCAAAAATCTGCTGGAAAAAGGGAAGAAATTTGACAGTAATTAGACCATGATTTAGCTTAATCATGTAGAAAATTAGTTTATTTTGGCTGCTATGATTTTTGGAGAAAAATCCCGTGAATTAGCCATTGTTTTGCCTATTTATGGAAGTGTAGTTACTGTTCATGGCGTGATCACTGTTCACGGACACTGTTCACGCACTGATGACCAACAATTAACGGGGATTTAAATGTTTAGTTTGTAATATAAGAACAAATCTGGAGATGTTCGGTCATGTGGAGACTGATAGAAATAGCATCGTGATTAGGGGTAGTCCTAATGAAGTTTTCACTTTGAATTTATGATAGTATGGTATTAATTCTAGGATATTTTGATTAGGTTCTTGATCGTTTTGTCAGTTTAACACTGAGATCGAGTCTTCGGTTTTATGCAAGTGAGGTAAGTAAATTATGGAATGGCCTTCGAATTTAAAAGTATATTTTAATTTGTTTTTGAAGTGGTGGCGGGACTAAACCCGTTTTATACAAAAATGAGTATGATCGATTTGAAATAAGATTATTATTCTTTTTATTGATTTGAGCATGCCTATTTGGAGTTTACTTAATTGCCTTGATGAACTGAGAATTTTGTAAATTCTGATTTTTCTGTTAAATCCATGTGAGCATGGACATTTTCCGATTTATTCTTGAAATTTGAGATTGATTGTGAATTATGATTTTCTGTTAAATTCTGCCTGTTTTGTCTCCAATATAGTCATGTTATTCATGTGCCTGCTATTGGGAGGTTTATAAACGCTAGCACATGTCGACATGTTATTGATAGAACGAGTTCGTTCGAGTGACCCTGCTAGTGGGGTTTATACACCAACAATTAGTGTGCCCGCCAGTGGGAGGTTTATAACACTGGCCATGACCTGTAGAGGAGACATCTATTTCATTCCCGTACTGTATCCGTTTTTCGTGATTACACTTGTTGGCATGCTATAAGTTTAATAAGGGGCACTCCATATTTTACTTACTGAGTTTATATCATAGTTTTTCCTTGTCCACCATTTCAGGAAGCGAAACCGAGAACGGGGAAACCACGGGGAAACCACGGGAAGTGACGAGTTAGAAGGCTAGCCATTTCGAGATTAATATAGATTTTAGAAATAAATCATACTTTTGTAAGATAGATTTTACCTTGAATTTATGAGATCAAAATAGATTTCGGTCATTAGATCAATTACTTGGATGTAAGTCATTTTGGATATAGAAATAAATTGAAATATTTGATTTAATTTATTGGATAAGTTCATATGTGAATTGGATAAGTTCCAAGCCTTGTGCATTTGTGGGATCCTCTCACGAGTGCACAGCGTCTGCCACGTTCCCAGATTTGGGTTCTGGGGTGTGACATGCAGCATGCTGCCCAAAGTCAGGGATGCTATGCAGCCTTAGAGGTGACTTCAACAAGTATGGCTCTAGGTCATTCTAAGTCTACAAAGACTAATAATAGCAATAGTCCTCCTTCTCTCGAGAGGCATAAACTATCTCAATTATAAACATGTTAGCCATCCGTTAATCAAGGTCCATCTTATGGCCAACAGCAAGCTGATGTTGCCATACAAGTTGCCACACAAAAGGCACCACTTTGGCTGGCATCAATACATAGATTTGATAAGGTATCCACCTCATCTATTTCCACTTCTTTTGAGACCAATGAGCATGTTTCTTCTACCTTATTTAAAAAGTGTTTGCGGTGACCATGCTTTCTTAGCGATTGAAGTCTTTTCAAGTTTAACTATAAACAATGGCTAAAGGTGAAATATCCCTTTAAAGTTGTTAGTCTAAAAAGGGGAGTTATTTCAAGTCTTGAAGGGCAACCTAATCAAAATGAACAACATAGGTTGCAAAAGTGTCCAACTAATGCTGCGACAACAAAAGCATGTTTGCAAGCCTAGTCCACCTTAGCAACTTGTAGACTAATTGCTAAAGGCAACTCAAAAGGCATGTAGGCCACCATGTTGTCCAACATGCTATAGGTCACATTCAAGGAATAATGATTCTTTCGAAAGTGACTTTCACAAAAAATTCCTAGATTTTCCTTTTCATCTACCAACTTGAAGAAGTAGCAAGAAATCTAAAGACCTCTATTGACACCAAAGAAGGAACAAAATCAATAGAACCATGTCTCTGAATGGAGGCAAGAAGTGCATGATCAAGCATTCAAACATGGAGGCATGGGCAGATGCTGCTAATGAGCTAAATTTATATAGATATTAATATGAAATTTTTGTCTTAATATTATTGATATTTGGATGAATTTTATGAGATTTTACATGATTTTCATTTTTTGTGCAGAAAAACACTTGAATGCATAAAAATAAAAGTTTTTAGGATTAATTGAACATTTTTTGAAAGTTGAGGGACTGAATTGCAAGAAGAAGGGGCGCTTCTTTGGGACTTAAATGAATGAATCTTGAGTTGTGAGATCTAAGTGCTCATCTTACAAAAGTTGGAGGACAGATCTGTTATTTTACCATTGAAGAAATTGGGACTTATATGAATGAAACTCGACACGAGTGTAGTGTCGACACCATGAGTTAATAAGTTCAGAATCAGACCTTCTATTTCTTGTTTTGTATCGACACGTAATTTGGAGTGTCAATGCTGTACGTTCAGCATCCAAAATTCAAAATTCAAATTTCCTATTTCTGTTTCAAGTCCTACTTCTATTTCAATTAGGGTTTCTAAAACCTTATAAATACCTATCTAAATTAAGAATTAAGAGAGCTTTGTGGAGGCTGGTGGCAGCCCTCTCTTGGGCATTCTTGAAGATCAAGAGAGAGGATTCAACAATAGGAGATCAAGGATTGCAATTTTCTCAAATTGGGTTTTATTCTTCTTTGTTATTTTTATGTTCATAACTATGATTTCACATTTTATTATTTTTATTATGAACTAAATTATTTTACTAAGACTACGATGTAACCTAATCAGTTCAATATAAATTTTGTGATTTTGTGATTTTATGCTTTCAATTAAAATTATTCGCATGAAGAGTTTACATTATTGAACTTAATGCATTAGAAGCTTGATCATCTTTCAATTGATTTAGTGATTTATGCATGAACTTGAGAAAGAATTACATAAATTATACCAATAATAATATAAACTGTGTGCTAGACTATAAGACCGAGAGGTAATTAGCTCACATGTGGTAGTGGAGGAAGAGAAGAGAGTTAGGAGCTCCCCCTTCTTAAGTTAGAGGTTTCTATAGAATTTAATACTCATTAGTTTGTTTAAAATTACATAGAGATATGATTAATTTAACAAACCAATGAAGGATTAATTTGACTTGAGAAAACTAGTTAATTAATTTAGGGAAATCCACCATCACATGCAATAACATTCAACAAATTAGCATATTAATTCAAAATTTATATTGATTGATTATGGTGAAATCAATGCCTTAGTACCTCATATTTTGGTTAGATTTATTTTAATTGTTATTTTTTTAAATTATTTTTTTAATTAAACCTTCTTCTTTTTTTATTGTTCAAATAAATTTAGATTAATTATTTTGGTTCTTAGTTAAACACAACACTCTTCTCATCATTATATTACTTGGAGCGATTAGTCCACTTGCTAGGGTGATTTTAGTGCATCAAGTTTTTTGATGTTGAACGCACAGTGTTGACACTCCAAGTTTTTGGATGCCTCTATAAATAAAGTCAATTTAGACATGGTCGTCATATAAACTTGGTGGCCCACCCAAAGTTTCCTACCCACAATCCTAGGACTCGTCAAAGGCTACTTCAAAAGAAACAAGCTAAAGAGTGTCAAAGGCATGTTATTGCTAAGGTGCATGTTTCTCAAAGGCAGCAACCTTTAAGGAGGCAAAAGTTTATCTAGGTGGAGAAGAAGAAACAAGGTGTAGCCTCTCATGAGGCTAATAAAAATATAGTCAATGCAGTCATGTCTCTAAGAACGTTTTCCAAACATGTTTCTTTGAAGCCAAATGACTCAGCTAAGAAGCTTAATATCAACAACAAAACAAATAGCCTTGGTGAATCTACTGTTGAACTTTCAAGTTCCATTCCAAATCTCCTTTTTGTTTTCACAAAGAAGCAAGATACAGCCTCTAGTAGTAAAGAGACAACAAAGAACAAAGTAAACATGTCCACCAAAGAGAACAAAGGAATAAAGCTTCTATTCCTATTAGAGGAGGCATGTTGCCACCAACTGGAGGCATGCTGTTTAAGAGACATTCTACAAAGAATATGAGACCTTTGCAAACACATGACATTTTTCATGAAGGCATATATTGGTTAAGGAACCTTGATGGTAGTCTAAACCTCACAAAAATAAATGGCTTACCTTTTCAACCATGTTGCCCTTTGGTCTGTAAGTCATGCAGTAGATCGAAGTGGAAATAATCTCTTTGTCTAAGTTAGGTTTGAATAGAGATCAATTTTAGTTTAGTTTTCATTTTTAATTTTCTACAATTAGTGTGAATAATCCTACAGTTAGAACGGCCTTAAGGAAGGCTATGAGATAGCATTGTTCTTAAGACACTATGCTTTTTGGGGAAACATGCTTAATTTATGTCTCCATATCAGCCAATAGAGAAATTGTTCTTTTTGGAGGCTATATTTTTCCATTTTTGCAAGTATACTTTTAGTTGGCTTATTTATTTATGAAGTCATTTTGTCTACTAGATGATACTCAATGCTATGCTGAAGAAAGAATAATATCAAATTTCTACATTCTTGGGATATTATGCTTCCTTTATAGTGGCAACATAATGAAGGAGTGCTAGGAACAAAATTTTCAAAAACTTGATTCCACTTCCATAAAGTCGTGCAACCAAGTTTTGGGGGCATTGTTTACACCCATTTTTGCAACAAATAGAATGGTGTCATGTGTCATCCATGTTGGAAGGAATTTTGTTTGTAGAAAAGTTGTTGACGTAGATCTCTTGAGATAAGGTTCAGTGATTATTTCCAGGTCATTTGTTTGTTGCTAATTTCCAGGAGCATAATTTACAGCACTAACAAATTAATTAATTTGTTGCAGATTTCATACTGCAGTTAGTTTTAAGATACTGCTGTAGATCTCTAACATGCTGCCAAGGGGTGTTTATTACTCTAAATATGTGGATAAGAGATCAAACAAACGAGACCTGCGTTTCACACAACAAGCCCAGCACTTTGCATTTTAGTTTTCACAAGCAATGTCTTAGTTTAGATCTAACTTTCTTAAATAGTTTTCCTAGTTTAGTCCTTAGCTTTATGCTACCACTAGCTTTAACTATAGTTTTTGTTATTTTGTTCTGAACATCTCCATTGATGTGTTTGATTTCAATTTACTACACTTTGCTCGAAATTCATCTTCTTAACTTCTTTTAAGTTTAGTTTTAAATTTCAGCTTTTATTTTATTTTTTACACTTTCATGCTTTCATGGCAGCATCATGCTCCTGCTCTACAATTTAGTTTTCTTGCCATGCATTCTCTTTCTTCTATTTTCCTTTATTTTTCTCTTTTATTTTGATCAACAGACTAACATTTTGGCCCTAGTTGTAGGAAATCCCTATAGGGCAATTATTTATAAACCTTTATGTAGGAAAGCACCCCCATTTCTATAACAATCGTTTAACCAGCGTGCATCTTATAATTTATTTAACCGGTACTCTTTCAGTGACTTGCAACTGAGTTCCATGCTTGGAAGTATTGAGGGTTGCGAGAATCTCTCTTTCTTACTTTGAGCAAAGTGAATGGCATGCCTTCATAATTTTATCTGCCACACAGCTAGAAAGGGAGATTTTGGGGACAACAGTTTTGTTTCATATTTTTTTGTTAATTACTTATAAAAGAATTGATAAGCTTTTTTATTTTTTTTATTTTTTAGGAAATCTAATAAAATCCATGAGGTGTTTCTTTAATATTTTTTTTAGCCATATTTGAGTTATTTACTTATTTAATTTCATTTCTCTATTAATAATTCTGTTTGTTTTTATTTATTAATATTGTTTATTAATGTGATTATTTTTGTATTTTTTAAATAGTTGTGAATTATTGAATTTTTTTATTTTATGTATATAAATAACTTTTTAG